TGCTACAAATATATAAACAGAATGGGATAAACAGGAAGCAGCTCCATAGAAACCATCTCAGCCACCTTCCTACTCTGGAGGGTGCAGGGTGGCTCTGCATTTGCTAGTCACTGACTCATTCATGCCTGTGCCTGAAGGCAAAAGGGGAATTACAGCCATTGTCAATCTCACATACTCTTGGCAGTTCTTTAATCTGCTTGCAGGCTGTTTGCTATTGTTTCTCTTTTACCAAAAAAAGACTTGGTGAACCAGTTGGCAGTGTCTTAACTGGATGGGGGGTCATTTGCTTTCATCAACAAGCATGGGAGACAGGTTTTCTGTACATCATAGTAATACAAATTCCATACAGCTAAAGAAAAGATAAGAGCGTACACCTGCTGAGCCCTGCTTTCATGGGCCTATGCTGCTTAATACAACTTGAGGATCTGGTCCATGGGGGTTAATGGAGCCTGCGGGCTAGAGAAGAAACTGGGAGGGGAACAGTATCAAAAGCCAGGTCTCTGCATTGTTAAATAATTAGACTGTCAGGGAGTCTCCCTCAGGAGGTGCCTTCAGGGTATTTGCTGCTGCCCTCCAGCGACAGCTGATAAACCAGGAGCGTTGCCATGCAATTAGCAATCAGTGGGAAGGAGATGCTGATCATACCTGTTCTCCACCTTTGTGTGTACACACGCCAAAACATTAATCTGAGTACACACACACCTTCTGGGCTGACTAGCATTCCTGGGTGACCTGCTGGGCATAAAATGATGTGTTTGCTGGAGCAAGCATGCTCCTGAGATTATAGTATTCTTAGAGAAGTTGGGCAATGTCTTCTTTAGAAGGAATGTAGAAAATAATAGCAATGGTGGAGCCAGCAGACTTCAGATTCGGTCCTGCCTATGCACATCAAACCTGTTCAGCAGCAAAATATTTGTGATTGGATGGCACTTTTAGAACGATCAAAGGTATCAATCACCAGTTCCCTACCTATCTCCCATCTTCCCCTCTTTCTGCCTAAATGTCCCTTGCAGTCTTCACTGCACACATTTTCTCTCTTCATTTCCTATCCTAAACTGTCTCTCATCTGCTTTCGGTGCTTGGTTTCCCAACTGCTCTAGCACTATGAATAGTGAATCTCTATCTGAAAAACATGGAGGCAGTGCTCACAGCAGGCGCAACCACAAGCAGGCGACAACTCTGTTCGGATGTACAACCAGGCAGCAGAGCCCATGTGGATTTCTCTAGCTCTGGCAGTGGGACAAGCCAATGAAGCATGGATCAGAAATCAGAGAGATCCCAGATAAATGTCCAATCAGAACAGTATGGGCCTGAGGAGTAGGGGGCGGGAATATATCATCTCAGAACTATCATACGACACTTGCACATTGTTTCATTTCACAGTCATTAATGTTATGAGGAAGGATGATCTTAGGGTTGAAAAACTAGGCCTAGATCATAGGAAAGTAGGGTATGGAAGGAACCTCATGAGGTCGTCTAGTCCAGCTCCCTGTTCAGGGCAGGATCTCTAGATCTCTGCCACAGACTTCCAAGGCAATCATTGGAAAATCACTCAATCTCTCTCTGTTTATGTTCCCCTTCTGTAACATGGGGATAAAAATAGTTCCTTTGTCTGCCTGTGCTCTTTGGGGGTATAATCCAAAGTCTATTGTAGTTAATGACAACATTCTCACTAACTTCAATGGGCTTTGGATCAGACACAAGGGCAGGGACTGGCTCTTAATATATGTCTATACAATGCCTAACATAATAGGGCTTTGTATTCCTTTGGGCCCTCTAGGAATTATTATACTGAAATTAAAATAATAATAGCCTTGAATGTAATGAAATCATTAGTTAAGGTTTGTGAATCGCTTTGAAGGCACAATAGTTCTGTGTGCATTTATTACCATTATGAAATATTCTTAACAAAAGCTCAGCTAAGGGAAGTGTAAAGGTAATTTCTCATTAAGATGAGGCTGTGCATGTTACTTGTCCCTGTGCTGAGTAGCAGAGTGTGGCAGACAATATTCAGTTGCATTTGCTAATTAAACAGAGACTTACTCGCATTCAATTTGAGTGGCTGCTGGGAGCCAAGGTAAATAGGCTTATACTTTGCAGTGTTTGTCATACCAATCTGGCCCAGCATTTATGGATACAATTCCTTGGGAGGTGCTTCTCCTGCATTGCCTTGATTATTGAATGGCCAGCAGCCAACATGCCTACTCTGAGGGAAGGTCCTTGCCTATTGTGCAGACATAATAAAACCACCTCAGTCTATTCATCAGTAGATTTCAAAGTGCTTTGCAAAGGAGGTTAATACCACTGCTCCACGTCACCAAAGGGGAACTGAGGCACAGAAAAAGGAAGCAACTTAGCTGAGGTGGGACCCAGAGAGTAGTAGTTGATAGAACCGACTCAAAACGGCACTCAGTGACCAGTGGTGTCCCCCAAGGCTCTGTTCTCAGACCTGTACTCCTTAATGTCTTCATAAATGATCTGGACACTGGTGTCAGAAGCAGACTGGCTACGTTTGCTAACAACACCAAACTCTGGGGAAGAATGTCTATGCTTGAGGATAGGCTGGTGATCCAGGCTGACCTTGATAGGCTTGCAAAGTGGGTGGATGAAAATCTGATGGCATTCAATACGGAGAAATGCAAGGTGCTTCACCTCATGGGGAAAAAAACCCATATCACACCTATAGCCTCAGCAGTGATACACTCACTAGCACCATGACTGAAAGAGACTTGGGGGTCATGATTGACCACAAAATGAACATAAACCACCAATGCTGGCAAAGCGAACAAAACTCTGGCTTGCATCTACTGATGCATCTCAAGCAAAACCCCGGATGTCATCCTCCTGCTGTACTCGGCATTGGTGAGGCTGCAGCTGGAGTACTGCATCCAATTCTGGGCTCCACAATTCAAGAAGGACATGGAGAAGCTTGAAAGAGTCCAGAGGACAGCCATGCACATGATCAGAGGGCAAGAGAACAGACCTTATGAAGACAGGCTTCAAGCTAGGGGACTCTTCAGCCTGGAGAAGCGTAGGCTCGGGGGTGACTTCATAGCAGCCTATAAGTACATAAGGGGTGTGCATCAGGATCTGGGGGAATGCCTGTTCACCAGAGCGCCCCAAGGGATGACAAGGTCCAACGGTCACAAACTCCTGCAAGACCATTTTAGGCTGGACATAAGGAAAAGCTTCTTTACTGTCCAAGGCCCCGAGGCCTGGAATAGACACCCCCTCAGAGGTGATGCAAGCACCTACTCTGGACACTTTTAAGAAACATGTGGATGCTTATCTTGCTGGAATCCTTTGACCCTATCTGACTTCCTGCCTTTTGGGCAGGGGGCTGGACCCAATGATCTCCCGAGGTCCCTTCCAGCACTAACGTCTATGAAATCTATGAAATATCACCCACCAAACCCATGGTAGAACCAAGAATTGGACCTAAGTCTTCTGAGTGCTGATCCTGTTCCCTGCCCACTAGGATACACTCAAAAGGTCCTTGTGTGACGACTGGCACTCTAACATAGTTATTTCTGCCCCTACCACACTCCATTTACTTCTTGCTTGGGCAGTATGGGTCAACATATGACCTTTTTGCACAGTTAAGCAGTTATTTACATGGCTGATTCAGCGAAGAGACAGTGCATATGTGTCGAGCGAGGGGTTGGGAGAGCTGAGGTCTGTTCCCAGTCTTATCTCTTTAGAGAGGAAACTCTTTGTGCCAAGGACTACCTTTTATTATGTGTAAGGAGACCGTCCCACATGATGGGCCCAGGAATGTCTTCATGCTGCCATATTACAAATAAAAATAATTCTGGTCAGTAGGACAACTAGCAACTACTCACCAAACTAAGTCGCAGGATCACAGTCTCATCCCCTTATTAAATTTCTTACACACATACCCTCAGCCTTTCTTCTTATTTACTCTCACTCCCAGTTGATTGTGAGGGGGAAAGAAAGAATGATGGATGGCTCCTGGAAGGTCATGGTGGACCTGACTTGTCTTTCCTCTTCCCTTTCCATGCTCTAGTGTCCCAAAGGTCATGTAGCTGTGCTGCATTAGTGCTGGAGGCTCCCTGAGCCAATGCTGTCTGCGAGTAGAGCTAACATGATTATGTCTCAGTGATTAATGGTTTAGCAGTAGATGCTATGCTATGAGGTGCCAACTCAATGGTAGGAGCTCTAACATGCCATGATGTAATACAACAGAAGTAATATACTCACTGCTTCTTGCTCCCTGAGCCTGTATAGGATAATAATGAAGATCGTATATTCTAACACACTGATTAGGGATTGGATTTAGTGTCTGAGGATTTGTTTATTCTGATATTATTCCAGATTAGCTATTCCTGATTAATTCCCTCTGTGGGCGCACTTGCCCCAGGATAAAAAAATACCTCCTTCTTTAACGTGGATCAAACTTCTTTGGAATAAGGCATCCCTATTTTAAAATAAAAAGGTGCAGACAGAAGTGAAAATTGCTATACTGCCCTGATTGGGCCCTTATTGCATGAGGTATCAGATAAGGATGTTTCAAAATATAGTGTCTTTTGTAACTTGTGAAAGTGTCCACATAAGAAGTTTAACTAGAAATAGCTATTCTGCTTTATATTCAAGTTCTACCTTAATCTGGGGAGCGTGAGCTGCAGGAAAACTGAAGGGAAGTGGAGTTTTTATTCCCTTTGACACCTTCCCAGCTTCTTTTCCAAAGGAACAAACTGTCCATGTTAATACAGGGTATCATAATTCTTCTTTATGAAAGATAACGGCTATCAGTGACAAATACAAGTCAACAGGCTTCCACTCAGTTTGAGTCCAAGTTGTTTAGTAAGAATCATACCATATCTAGAACCCTATATAAGACACTGAATAACATACTGCACATTAACATATCACTACAGAGGGGTCCAAACTACATGTTTTATTTGTTTTGGCTGTATTGGAGGCCTGGATTGGATACAGCAGGAAAGTGTACATTGTGAAAAGGAAATTAATTTCTCATTTATTTTGTTTGATTCCTCAGGCCACCTGCACGTAGTCATGGCTAGTAAAACCAGTTCAAGCAGCATGATTGCCTCTCCTGTTCCTACTAACTCTACAGGAGCCACTACTGCTCAGCCCAGCTTCATTGAAGGCATTATTAATGAAATACCACGTGAGTAAATTCAAGGTGGCACAGTGGGCACAAATACTGGGCTGGTCACTCAGAAGAATGAAAAAGTGCTAATGGCATGCTTATTGTGGTATTTATGGGCCAACCACGTTCTCTCTTGTTGTTATCCTAGATTTGGGTCTAACAGGTTTCTCTAATGTTCTGCATCTGCTCTGAGTTGAAAGGGGTGGGTTTTTTTGGTCTGCTTTCGGTGTTTCTGTTCAAGCCACCTGTTTCAAACTGTTCCCAAGTGCTCTAATAACATAACAGCAAAGGCAGAAATAAAAGAAAACTCATATAATACTGGGGGAGGGGGAGGTAAGAGTCAGGGGATAGCGAAAAACACTAAAAATATAACAATTCCATTCATACTAATCTGTACACCCTGGCCTGAAGTGCTCTGTTTAGTGCTGGCATACAGCAAAAATAGAAGAGGACTCAGAGACAGGTGGTGAATCTGATTCAACATGCAAAGAAGCTTCTATATAAGGAGTGACTGCAAAGCCCAGGACTATTTAGCATAGGGAAGACATGAGAGAACCTTATAAGAAAATGAAGGTAACATTACCATTACTTGCAATATTATTGCAAATCTTCTGACTTTATGGACTCTTCCTGAAGCCCCAGCTGTGGGAGTCAGAGGATGAGATGAATTTGGAGTTTCATGTGAAAAAGGAAAGTAAATTTGCAGCCTTCATGGTACCAAAGAGAAGCTTGAAAGGCTAAGAAACCAGATGGTGAATTAAAAAGGAATTCCATGTGTATGACTTCTTGAAATTCCCATGCATTGCCTGATTCATGATGGCCTGATCATGGGCAGATCTAGGATTTTAAAAAGCAGGGTGCAGATCATCACATCTAACACAACACATATTGTTCTCTAGTTAAAGATAAACTACCTGATTTATCTTGTTTAGAAAAGGAATATGCTAGAGGGGCTAGCATTATATTATTCAGTTTAAGGTCAAAGCAAAAACAAACTATTGGAATATGCACTAATTTGCTGGATTATACATAAATTTTTTTAAAAAACACAAGAAGCTAGGCAAAAAATAGTCAAAAGATACTGCATCATTAGTCCTACAGTCATTATAGTTAAATGTACATATCTTGTTCATAAGACAAAACCTATTCTTCCCAAGAGTCTTGATGGTGCCAACAAAACTTTAGTGTCAGCCATTTCTACACCTGCATTAATATTACTACACCTGAGTTAAGGTTTTTAGATAGAGCTAAAAACAGTCTGAAGGGCTCTGAAATAGATGAGAGACATCACCAGAAATGGCTAACAGACAACAACATTAAAAAAGAAAGGATAATTTGAATAGTGGAACATGAAGACCATCAAAAAGGATAGAGGGTTGTTAATATCTGTGGAGTGGAGAGAATAGCAGGAATCAGGAAGATGATGAGCCATGAAGTCAACTGACTCTCTCAGCACTGCCTGAATAGAAATGCAGCTGCCCCAACCAGGCCTTTTATTTTAAAATTTGGGTGGAATAGGAATCAAAGTGTGTGGGTGTGGGGAGGAGTGCAACTACACCACTTTCTCTCAGGATCTACTCCCGGACCCGATAGTATTTTTGAAGGTGCTGTGCTGGCAGTACTGGGAATGGATCTTGACAAGTGCCTCTTCTCTGCCACTAGTACAAAGCCCCTCATTCACGTGGCTGCCCTCAAGTAGGGCTCCAGGGGATAAATCTAGATAGCCCCCAGTTCCTTGTAATGATCTGCCAGCAATAGAAGCAACTAGGGGGTGTGAAGGTATCCACTACAGACTGGGACCATGCCTCTGGACCTCAGGGCCAACTGATACATAGTGCCCACAGCACCTCCCTCCTGTGACCTTCAAACACTACATAAAGGTGGACTCAGAAGGTGCTTTCATGTGCTAGTTTTGTCTCAACTCTGCCTAGTGCTGGAGGGTGGCTCTCAGGGGCTCAATGTCCAAGGGAAGGAGAAATGGAAAAGCAGAAAATATTTAGGAAGGGACAGTGGTACCACTTGGCAGCTCCACAGTTGCAGGCTGGGTTCTGCTGTAGGGTACAAGCAAGGCCCTGTAAGCTTTGCAAGCAGGGTGGCTCTAAATTCTGTGCCCAGCTTCCTGATTTCTGCTGCACTCTTGTGGCAGCTTCTGATGCATTAAAAAAATATAGGTAGTTTTAACCAAATCAAATAAACAAAGGCATATGCCATCAACACAGCATTCATTTGGGGATGGTGGCATATGTGAGTTTCTGCTACAAAAATCTGGTAGGAAAAAGGTAAATATGTTGTTGTCATTAGGTTTCCCATTAAGCAGCCTATTGGGATGGCTGGATGCAGTGGATTGCACCTGTCTGAGAAATTGTTTCAGACATCCTGGCCTCCCTGAGTCTGCAAAGAATTGCTGTTATGTTCAGTTTGTGGCCTCTGCATTGTTATTGTGTGAAACTAGGGGTTTCAACCTCACATGTCCTGCAGGCTGTGTGTATGACATGGGGCTAGTCCACGGGCTATATGGGAGTGTGGACCTCCTTCCCCTTCCTTGCCCCCCATGCAAGATTCAGTGTACATGATGCCCATTCCTGCTGGTCCAAGATCCACACCGCATACCCACCCCTGACTTGCCTCGTCCAGGACTGTGCCTAATGTGATACCCGCTCCAGCTGGTGTGGAACCTATGCTGCATGCAGCGTCCCAGACTAGTGAGGGGGAGGACCCTGCCTATGGTGTAGATTTTAGACTGGCCAGAATAGGAGTCACATGTAGCATGGGTCCCAGAGTGGGTGCCACATACTGAGTGTGTCCTGGGCCCTGCACATAGGGCTGGTCCAATGTGGGTAAACGCAGACCCAGAGGCAGCAATGGGGACCAGACGGCGGGACTGTGCCAGCCAGATCTTTGACACTCCTGTTTTAAACTATAAAGGCCAGAAGTTTAACTTAAGTGTAACTTAAGTATTTTGCAGCTTGTTTCTGCAGCCAGGCAGAGAGTTTCAGGGTCAGTTCCACAGAACTGCAAGCTAGATCTTATCGCAAGTAGGAAAGCTAGATAAAGCCAGTCTTCAAGGCAGAGCCATGCATGATTATCTAAATATTAGCTTGCTTTGAGATGATGCTGATTGTTTCTTAATCTTGCATTGTTTCCCCAGATAGAAGCACTGGGTCCTATGTCTTCAAAAGAACCCATCATTCAAGTTCCACTAATCAAGAGAACTTGTCATTTGTGATGACAGGGAACGTTTGCTACCCTGGGTTGCCATATTCCTCAATCCCTTACCATGTGTCATTTCTCTTGTGTGGCACATGAAGGGACCTGCTAGGGTTCCTTCTCCCAATGGCCCATACTACTAACTTAGCCAGAAACTGAGATTTAGAGGCCTGGCAGATTTCGATAAAGGTCTCCCACTTAAATCAATTGGAGACCTGTACCTAAATTCCTTAGATTGCACTGACAATTTTAATCAGTGTTCTTGCCCAGCTACCCCTATTTCACATCAACTTATACAGACCATATGGTTCTTTATGGTACTGCTGAAGAAAGTGAGAGGTATCAAAGCACTACACAGACATAAGCAAATTAACACTGACTCCAATCTTATGAGATAGGGGAGTATTATTATCACACTGACAGCTGGGGATCTTTGTCATGGGGGATGAAACCAGCTTTCTCAAATAGGACTGTCTAGTGTTAGACAACTCTAAATTCCATCATCTCAGCGAGTGTGGCCTGATTTTCAGACATGCTTATCAACTGCAACCTCTGAACTACTCCAGAGGTAATGGCAGGAGCTTAGCATCTCTGGAAACCAAGTCACATTTAGATGGGTGCCCATATGAGAGGTATTTGGCTGATTGTTGTGGTCTAAAGGCAGAGGTCAGCAATGTTTTCTGGCAGCGGGCCAGAATGACCCAGCTCAGGGAGAACGTAGGCTGGTGCTAGGACCCACCTGCTGCTGCCCACTCTACTCTCTGCCATCAGTCATGGCATGAGCAAAGCCCTTGATACTGCTGAATACCCTACTAGCTCCATGGCTATGGTTTGCTGACCCCTGACCTAAAGGACTTGCCTAAAATCAGGAGATTAAAATAAGCACCCAGGAGTCCTACAAACCTTCTCACTTGCATACCAGGGACTGTTTTAATAGACTCTCCCTAAAAATGGACTATGGGCATTTTTGCCTTCCCCTCTAGAGGGGCAGTGGCCCTCTGCCTGGGATCTTTTTAGTGTATGCTAACAACCCTTTGATAGAACCAGGGCATTGGCTGCTGTGGTTCCCCTACTTTACCTGCAACAGGTAAGGGTGTTATGTCTTATGTTGTATCAGGGTTGACAGTAGTTTTACAAATAGTTTAGATTATGGATTTGTAGAAGGTGGTTTGGATAGGGATGATCCTGCCTCAGGCAGGGGGTTGGACTGGATGACCTCTGGAGGTCCCTTCCAGCCCTACTTCTCTATGATTCTGTGAAGAAGCAACGTAACCCCATTTGCTTCTCTCTCTTTCCAAAATGTTGCAATAGTACCCAAATGGGCTCTCATTGCCATTGTGGTCGCAGCGGGCCTTGTTCTCATCCTCATTCTCATCTGCATCATCAAGTACTGCTGTTGCAAAAAGAAACGCAAGAAGAAGGAGAAGCTCAACTTGGTTAACATCAATGGCTCCACCACGGCCAGCTTGGTATGTACCTTCCTGGACCTCCCACCATCCTGCTCCACAGCTGATAGATACATTCCTCAGAGGCATCTGGTTCTCTTGGGTGGGCACTGTGTTGAGGAGCCGGGATGGAGGGGGCTCTGCCATTGGCATAAATTGGGGTGGTTTCTGCTAAGAAAGAACCCAAGGCTGGACTGGAAGAACATGCTGCAAGCCAGAATGAAAATATACTGAGAGAGACAGATATGGAAAACTTCCCAGGCTCTGCCTGTGGTTTGATAACCAGAGTCACCAGTTCCTCATCTGCATGCACTTCAAACTAAACAGTTTTGTAAGAAAAACAGAAGTCCAGGGAGATCTGAGCATGGAAGCAGCGAATATCAGAGAGGCCTATGTTTGCTCTGTATAGGAGCATCATATAGGAGTACATCTTTTAGCAGCACCAATGGCCTTTTTGGACCTACTGGGGCTTATCAGTGGACCCTTTTTAAAATCTTATTTCTTAGTACCTTTCAGTGTGGCCAGTCCTCAGACCTGCATTCCCAGATTGCATTGGAGACCCTTTCATCAAACCATGGGCTTAAAGCATCTGTTTAAAAACAAGGATGTGTTTGCTTCCGGGTCTGTAACACATGTCAGGCCTGGCAGTACAGTATAGATAAGTTAACATCATCAGCTTAGGATAGGAACAGCTGTAGCAGGACCTGGCCCCCAAGGGTGGCTGTGACACTCCCTAGTGGTCAAGTTACTTTTGCCCCACTCTGGCTGCAGGGCACCCTTCCCTTTCTGCCTCGCCTAGATGGATATTATAGTATTTAGGGAGGCTGCCTCCAGGGGCCTGGAGCGAGCCGCAGTTCACTTCACAACTTCTCATGCCTGGCTGGCACCAGTCTTGCCCTCCAGGTGCTAAATCATGGCCCTTCTGGCCCTATCCGTGCTTTAGGGCAGAAGTCTCCTTAGGGGCACAAATCAAATGGTGGCCTCCATTGTCCCCATAGCCATAGCATGCCTCATAGGAATTGCTTCATATTAATTTCTCCAGCTCCTCTGGCCCTGTCTGTGTGTCAGCCCACCAGGTCCTTGGCTCATTTGGTTTTAACCTGTCTCTATGCCTGTGGTCCTGTTCTGGCTTCTTCTCCTGTCAGGCTTCAGCCCCTCAACTCAGGCTTTAACCCTCCCAGCCTCTGCTTGTCTTGGGCCCCTGGACCTGACTTGGTTGCAGTCCCTCTTGGGCTCCAGTTCCACTATGCAGGCCTCAACCCTCTCAGCTTTGAGCTGTCTCCAGCTGTCAGGCCTCTGGGTCCCTGACCCCAAGCTAGGCTACTAACATGGAGTGCACCACCAGGTGCCCCTCCATGGCCTCCATCCTTCCCCACAGCCACAATCCATTCCTCCAATTAAACTTAAACACAAGTACAATCAATCCATTTCCACTCTGGGTCAATGCATACTCTCCCCTTAGCTTTCTCTTTCCAGCTTTCTCAGGGAGCTTGAGTGCTTGAAATCTTTTTTCTGCAGCCTCTCTCCCTAGGAGCACCTCTCCTTGCAGCATGCAAGGCCAGACTGCCCACTTTGCTTTAGGCACTGGGCTTATATGCCCCAAAGCACCACCCCTTCCTGTTATGTGGCTTTGCAGCCACACAGGGCTTTCCCCTTTTTCTTAATGGCCAGTCTGCCCTCTTCTGCAGCAGCCTAACCCAGCTGCTTGCAGCCTTTACTCTCTAGCTACCTGGAGATCTGCCCCTTGGCTGCTTACTACAGTGCAGCTAGCTCCAAGGTAGTCTCTGTCCCCGTTGTCTCTGGCCTGCTTGCTTTCTAGCAGCTGGCCTTTGCCCAGCTGCCTGCCCCACACAGCAAGCTTGGCCTCCTAAGCTCTCCCCTTAAAATAACAGGAACCTCTTGTTCCCTGTTACAAGAATCTGCTGCATGGGTAAAGGGAGTGGACTTTTACTATGTGTCACCTGTTCCACACTGACATGTGCATAGACTTATCTTGTGGGATGTGGAAGCTGACCCATTGTAGATCAGCCCTCAGTGAAAGAGGGTAAAGTTACCACAACTTATTTTCTGCTTACGGGTAACAGCGTGCACATAAAGGCAGTCACTGCTGAGCAGCTGAGGCCTGGTAACCCTAATCTTTTTGGATGGAGCAAGCAACTTGGGCTGGTGACATCTGGTCTGGAAGACAGTGACATGGTTAGAGGGCTGCCTCATTAACTGTAGTTTCTGGCCATGGAAACATCTCAGAGATACTGATCTTGAACCTCTCTGAACACACTTATTTTGAAAACCTGTTGCTGCTTTCTTGCTCTAGGTACAGCCAGATATGGATGATCTGGAGAGTGGTCTGGAGGATGAGAAGCGAGGAAGGCTGCAGTATTCCTTGGAGTATAACTTCCGCAGCCAGGAGGTAGGACTTGGTGCTACTGGCAGTGGCAGGAAATTCATGGCCAGGTTCACAGGCTGATGTCCCTTCCTCTCAACATCCTACCACTCTTGTCCCAACTCTCCAGGCCCTCTTCTGTCAGAGCCAGCTCTAAACCTCTTTTCCTTGGCCACTTCAGATCTCATCCCGGTTGTGGTCATCCAACAGATTGACTCTCCCCTATGTACACATGGCACACAGCAAGAAATCCTCCCCTAGACCTGCTGTCCCTGCTGAAGGCACTAGTTTGATGACAGTCTTTCAGCTAGGCATCAGGGTCCCCACGCCCACTTGGCTCTACCCTGGGAAGGAAGCACATGGGAGTAGTGTCTTTCTCCTCACTTGGGATAATCTTGCATGTTGATATTTTTAAGATGAAGGTTGGAGTGAAGCAAGCAGCTGATTTAAAGGCTATGGACAGTGGGGGGACCTCTGACCCATATGTAATTGTCTACCTAACATCTGATATCAAGAAGAAGTATGAAACCAAGGTTTACCGCAAGACGTTAAATCCTGTCTTCAATGAAAGCTTCACCTTCCAGGTAAGAAATGCTGCCAATCATAAGCTAGACACTCCTGTTGAGGATACCACTGGTCATCACAGATCAGGCACTTTGGGCTCATCCTGCATGGTGCAGGTCTGGAGTGTGGTATGGAGGTAAGCAAAGTCAAATGCAGTGAGAAGCATGAGGACCTGATCTTGAGTTAGTGAGCTTGACTCCTGCACAACCAGCAACTTTATTCTACTCTGGAGCTGAGGAAAGGCCAAAGGGGGTGGGGGGAGGAGGAGACAAAAGGTCCGTGTCCTTTCTCTTCTCTAGGGACTCTTAAAATGAAGGAAACAGGCAGGAAAAGGATGTTAGAATTAAGTCCAATCTGCTTATGCCTTTCCCTATGTGAAGCCTGGATTTGTGCTTTTCCTGGAGCACAGGAACTTTGTTCTCCATGTAGTACACCAGGGACACATTGGCCGAATCAAAGTCTTCTCTTGGCCAAACACTGCTGTGCCAGACTAAATTCTTTCAGTTGAGTCAGTGAGGAAAAGGGGAACAACAAAGGGGGAGATGTCCCTCCAGCAAAAGATTACAGAAGCAAAGTGCCCATCATTAGGGTTGACCTCCAGGGAAGGGTGAGGACCAGTAGAACAGTATGTTGGAAATCCTGATGCTGAGCTCCTTTCACTGTGGCAGAAGGCAGGGCACCTTCAAGACTACCTGGCTGAGCCTGCCCAGGCTGGGGTATGCATTCAATGCAGGAGCAGGGGAGCAGCTGCGATGTGAGGGAGGCTCTATTATAATGGCATTGCTTCAAACTCATGAGACCAGGCTGTATTAGAAGAGCATAGTGGAAACACTGTTATACACTACTTAAATTTTTTTCTTGTCTTGCCTTACAGATTCCTCAGGCTGAAATGTCTGAGTCCACCCTGGTGATGCAGGTGTATGACTTCAACCGCTTTGCCAGACATGACATCATTGGCGAGGTCCGGTTGCCTCTCAGCAATGTTGACCTGCAGCACGTCATTGAGCAGTGGAATGAACTCATCACTGCCAGTAAGACTGAGGTCATTATCCAAGGCAAACCTTAGGGGAGAAGGTGCAACATGTTGGGAGAAACTAGACTCTTGGCAAACCATCCTGGGGATCTCCCCCCTGAAAGCATGGTCCCACTGCTTCCACTGGGCTATTCCTGCTAGGCTAAATTAGCATAGCCCTTACTTAACTGTGCAAAGAAGCTAGGTTTGCCTGCTGGCTCTGCTCAGATTACTATTCCAAAAAAAAGGGGCTATTCACTTGGGATTCCTTGCTTTGAGCAGAGGGGACTGGAAGTAGAAAGGGCCCTGTCCTCAACCCACTAGCCAAAACGGGTACTAAGACCTGATAAGGATAATGGACTACTTTATGGCTGGCTGCATCCATGGAGCATGGACCAATTAGCTCACTCTTTCCCCAAAGAAGCAGGGAAAGTACATTTTATCTGGAGTATTCCCTAACGACAAATGGTGAGAATCTGTTTGACTGTGAAACTAGATCAGTTGCAACTTCAGCTGAATTGGTTAGTTACATAAAGAGTATGGCTAACCCTCAGCATTGTGAAGTCACAAGTCAGACTGCCAAAGTGATAAAATTGATTTAACAGGAACCTAGCATTGGTTCTTCTTTTCTTTAATAAAACTCACAGTCTCTATTTATCCTCTATTTTTGTTGACCCTTCAAGACACACATTTTCATGGTTTCTCTCTAACCAGTGGAGCTAAAAAATTAATTTACAAGGCTTGTTGTAAAGAAAATGGAAATTTCACATACCCATGAGATAAAATCACAAGAGCGGGCAATATGATATAACTCACATGAAATTGTGATCTCTATTTGGATGATGTAAACCAGCATAGGGTGAATTGCAAATGCTGAAGATTGAAATCTAGTATCCACTCCAAATTTCATGCTTTGTGGGTTACTTGCTTCAATTATATGTCTTTTGTACTTACAGTTACAAAATAAATATGTTACTAATGTGTAAATAACATCAATGAGGCATATCGCTTACCAGGTGAATTAATGTTAGTATTATTGATAGTTGAAAATAAGTGAGCTACAGGCTAAAAAAGACAGACAAGATTCTTTGGATAAATGTGACATCTTTTGTTAGACCAACTAAATAGTTGGAAAAATTGCAAATAACAATTTTTCGAACTATTTTGTTGGTCTACTAAAAAATATCACATTTACCCAAAGAATCTTGTCTGCCTATGCCCTTAGACCAACACAGCTACAACCAACAACCCTAAGGCTAAAAAAGATTTTTTTTCCCCAATAACAATTGCTAAAAATTTATAGTGACAAGACTGGACAATTTCTAGTCTGTTTGTAGGCAATTTGAAAATGAAAATGATGACATTTTAGAGTATCAATGAGTCACTGAATTATTTATGCAGCCAAAAAAAATACAATGTTGAGGTGTATGGTTAGAAAATTGTGATATTCACAACGTTATCAAAATTTCAATAAAATCTGATAAAAAGTTTTAATTTTTTAAATGAAACCCTGGCTGTACTAGAGGCTCTAGATTCATAATGGTGTGCCATCAGGAGTTTCAGTGGCATAGGACAGGGATGGCCAACTTAAGGCACGTGTGGCAGAGGCAACCTTTGTTTGTGGCACATGGCAGACTGGGGAGAGGACAGGTAACACTATGGCAGGTAGGGCAGAGAGCAGAAATCAGAGCAGCAAATGAGGCAGGGAGCACAGGGCAGGGAGCAGAAAGAGGTGCAGGAAATTGGGCAGGGCTACAGAGGAGGGAACAGGAAGCAGAGCAGCTAGTTGGGCAGGGGAAGGGAATTAGGGTGAACTTGGGGAGGGAGTAGGGCTCATTTGTGGCATGCTTGCCAAAATGGTTGGCCTCACTAGCATAAGAGAGAAGAAGGAATGACCTTCTGAACTTTCCCCCCCCAGAGAAATCTCACGTTTTACTAGCTGAGCCTTCCAATGTGTGACCCTATAACTACATACTAGAGCAGGACACACTAGAGCAGGTCTCAGACACCAAGCCTGGGTCTGGCTGTACTGTATCTTCTGCACTGATCTTACTATCAGGTATTCATGACTCATTTAACTCTTGGTTTTTTGTCTCTAACAGCAAGAGCACCTAGGTGAGATCTGTTTCTCACTTCGATACGTCCCCACCACCAGCAAGTTAACTGTGGTGATCCTTGAGGCCAAGAAGCTAAAGAAGATGGACTCTCATGGATTGACAGGTAAGAGGAAAAGGGCCACAGTGATTATTCCATGTGGACTCTGAGGGCCCGAGGTACAGAATGAAGGAACAAGCATTGCCTGAAAAACTCCTATTAGACAGTTTCTCATGTAAACCCAGGTCTGTCTTCCCCAGCAAAATTCTGGCTCGACTTCATTCCCATTGTTCTTCTGAAGCAATGGGACACAGAAAGCAGAGATACAGGAAAGCATGACAGTAAAAGTTCAAACTTTGCCCTTGATCATGAGAGAGAATTACTTTGCTGGTCTAGGTACACTTGCCAGCATTCACACTCAATCTATTTGCAGCACAGTTTGGCATTTCCTGCAGTTCTTCTCAAAAGAAGGGACTTGGGGAAACACCAGTGTGTGGGGGTGGGGGGAGCTTGTATCTATAAGCAAGATTTCACTGGAGAGCCCACTATGTGTATAGGGGTAGGAGCAATTCCACTGCATGTTCTCTCTGAAGAGCTAACTCTGTCATCCTCGTGCCTCTTATTTGTCTTTCTTCTTTCTGTCCCTTCTCCCCATTTCAACCACTGTAAGGAATAGCAGGAAAAGCTGAGAATCAGGAATCACATGTGTTGGCAAAGTTGTATGGAAGTCCAAGGCTAGAATTACAGGCAGTTATAGCACAGAAGAATGTATTGGCTGAATTGTCAGATGCACTGGGCTGGACAAGCAGGAGCTACTGTAGGTCAGGACTCCAATACATTGGCAAAGCTGTCTAGAGGCTGAATGCTAGAATAAAAATGGGTTCTCAAAATCAGGGCTGAAATGACTTGGCAGAGCTCTGTAGAGGCCAGGAGGTGAGCAAAATTCTGCACCTGAACATCCTGTGAAGCCATTTTATAAGTGAGCTTTGAAACCTTTAGATGGGCTTGTCCCAGGATGTAACAATAATTATATCTTCTGCTGCTTCCCTCATCCCCTGTTTTTCTCTCAGACCCCTATGTCAAAGTGCAGCTGATCCTGAACAAGAAGAAATGGAAGAAGAAGAAAACAAGTGTGAAGAAGAGCACTTTAAGCCCCTATTTCAATGAGGCATTTGTTTTTGATGTGCCTTTCAATCAGATCCAGGTAAGTTTTCCCAACCAGGGACAGCATTCAGTAGCAGGCACATACCAATAAGAAAGAGCCCAGGTCACTGGCTAGGAAGTGGCTCCTATAGCATAGAGTGCTAGTAAGGGGAGATTTAGCCCCACTAATGCCAGAGCTGTCCTAGTGGCTTAGCCTTGCTCAGCTGCTTTGTAAAAGTAAGGGGAGTGAGGTCTTGTTCCTTTCAGTGGCCTCCTTTGAAACACGCTGTTAAAGACTGGAACTGAGGATGATGAAAAGGAATTGGGAGGGAACATCCAGGACTGGGCTCTGTCTCTTTATGATGAGAGCACAATTTTCCCAGACCAACCAACCAAAACTCTAAGCCCTTCTGGTTTCCAGGGGAAAAAAGACAAAGCCCAAATAAAGTCTGTACTTATTTTCCAGAAGAGAGGTGAGGTGGTATCCTGTCCTCTCCCATCTTAGGCACTGTCATTGTTTGCCTTCTTCCTCCTTTTCTATGTGGCAGCTGTGTGTGAGGCTAACAAGGCCAGATGCATTGGCTTCACCCTTCCCTATCTTACTCTTGCCACCCTATAGGCAGCCCCAGCCAACCTGGGAAGGGACCTGATGAGATCTGGTGAGCTGGTTAACCTAAACCCTCATGGGCAGAAATGATTTATACATACTGAAATGCCTCCAGTGCCATGCACCAGGCCAAGTAGATAGGCAGAGCTCCAGAGTCTCAATGCATGACTGAGACGATGGTGTAGGGCGGAGGGGTTTAGGTTTATTAGGAGCTGGGGGATCTTTTGGAACAGGGGGAGCCTGTACAGGAGGGATGGACCCCACCTGGACCAAAATTACACCAAACTGGTGTCATGTAACATTGAAAAGGTGGAAGAGCAGATTTTAAACTAAAAACTGGGGGAAAGCTGACAAGCGCAGAAGAGCATACAGTTTGGATGGACACATCCTATAGGGCTGAAACCATAAAAGTGGGGGGGTAGTACTTATGTGGAACACAGAGAAGACCAGCATGAACAAATAGATTTACTGATTAAAAGGTCACATACAAGTAGCCAACCAGGCAACAATAAAAAGTGTAAGTGCTCTTATACTAATGCCAGAAGTTCCAGATCCCAGATGGGGGAACTTAAATGCTTAGCAGTAAATAACACTACTGCCATAATAGGTATCTCAGAAACATGGTGGGATGAGGAAAATCAATGCATTGCTGTAATACCAGGTACAAATTATACGGGAATGATAGAATAGGTCATACTGGTGAGGGAGTGGTCCTGTACATCAAAGACTGCATCGAATCAAATAGGATAGATTTTTCAACTAATAAGAGGGATGCCCGAGAATTTCTGTTTCAACAGAAGAAAGTTGTTCTGGGGGTATACTATCAACCCAGGACAACAGCAACAAACTAGAAATACTAAGAGAGTTGAGCGAGGCAGCAGTGGAAGCAAAAAACACTAATAACGGGAGATTGTAATTATCCAAAAATAGACTGGGTCAATCTGCCGGGATACAGAGACCAAACTTCTTGATATTATGAAAGACTGCATCCTGGAGTAGTTAGTGCTGGAACCTACAAGAGGAAAGGCCATTCTTGACCCATTCCTAAGTAGTGCACAGGATTTGGTGCAAAGGGGAAGTGTTACTAAGCCTCTCTGCAATAGTGATGACAATGTAATTGAGTTTGACATCCATGTAGGAGGAGAGATAAGAATAAAATCTACCACTGTAGCCTTTAGCTTTAAAAAGGGAGACTATACCAGAATGAGGAAGCTAGTTAGACAGAAATTAAAAGGGGATGGGAGACAAAAAATAAAAAAGAGTACTAACTCTGGCAAATTCAGAAGAAAGAATTTGAGGAGAAACTTGCTAGAGACATAAAAGGTACCAATAAACATTTCTCTAATTACACTATAATCTGAAGACCTGCCAGAGAGTCGGTGAGCCCTTCAAAGATCAGGTTATAAAAGAGGTGCTAAAGGATGATAGGGTCACCAAAGAAAAACTAAATGTATTCTTTGCATCTGTCTTCATTATGAAAGAAGTTAACAAGATCTTGTCACCAGATCTACTCCTTTCAAGGGACAAGCCAGTGGAGCTGACCCAAATTGAGGTTTGAATACATTGTAGGTCAATAGGTCATAGAGGAAATTGAGAAACTGAACAGCAGCAAATCATCAGTACCTGGTGGCATTCACCCTAGGGTCCTGAAAGAGCGCAGATTGGAATTTGCTAAACTCCTGCAGCCTGTCACATTGGCAATCCTGCAATTGCATACTCCTAACTAAACTCCTCCTAACTAGAGGATTGCCAATATGACTCCCATATTTTAAAAGTCTCTAAAGGACTTTTAAAAGGATCCAAGGAACTACAATATAATGAGTCTAATTTCTGTTCCTGGAAAACTGGTAGAGACAATAATAAAAAATAAGAATTGTTCAGCACAAGGATGAACATGACTTACTGGAGAGGAATCAACATGGCTTTGTCAAAGGGAAATCATACCTTACCAAACTACTATAGTTCTGTGAGGGTGCAAGAAGCAGGCGGATCAGGATGATCCAGTTGACATAGTATATCTGGACTTCCAAAGAGCCTTTGAAAAGGTCCCTTAATGGAGGCTAATGCAGTTAGGTAGTCATAGGATTACAGGCAAGGCCCATTTGTGGATTAGAAGTTGGTTTAAAGATAGAAAAAAAAGAGAGTAGAAATAGTCAGTTTTTAGGATGGAAAGGAGCAAGTAGTGGGGTCACCCAGGGATCTGTTTTGGAACCAGTGCTGTTTAACATATTCATAAATTATCTGGAAGGGGGAGTGAGTTGTGAGATAGCCAAATTTGCAGATGACACAAAATTATTCAAATTAATAAAGATCAAGTTTATTAATGGACTGCAAAGAACTACAGAAGCATCTGGCACAATTGAAAGCATGGGCAACTAAATGATAGATGAAATTCAATGCAGATAAGAGCAGTAGTGCACATAGGCAAATTATACCTACATTACGATGGGCTCTATCTAACTATTACCACAGAGGAAAGAGATCTGGGAGTCACTGCGGACAGTGTGCTAAAAACATCAGCTTAGTGCTTAGCAGCCATAAAAAGGCAAAAAATATGTTAGGAATTATAAAAAAGGGAATTATAAATGAAATAGAAAGTATCATTATATCCCTTTCTGAATCTGTAGGGCATCAGCACCTAGAACACTGTGTCCAGTTTAGGTCTCCACAAAGGATTATAGAAGAACTGGAGAGGGTATGGAGAAGGACAACAAGGATGATTAGTGGTATGGAGGGGCCTCCATATGAGGAGAGACTAAAGAGGCTAGGCCTGTTAAGTTTAGAAAAGTTCCACTTGAGGAGGGACATAAGGGTTTACAAAATGCTAAATGGTGAGGAGAAAGTAAATAGGCATTTATTATTTACTGTCTCGCAATACAAGAACTAGGGGTCATAATATGATACTTGTAGGTAGTAAGTTTCAAACTACCAAAAGAAAGCTTTCACACAGTGTGTAATTAAAGTGTGGACTCATTACCACCAGTTGTTGTGGAAACTGATAGTTTAGCCAAATTCAAAAAAGGGATTGGAGGAAAGGGGCATCAGTAGCTATTGTGCATGGGAGTTAGGGGTACAGTTTCTGAATCAGAACTTCCTAGACCTTAAATGGTAGAGGCTGCAAGTGGGAGAGGAGCAGTGGAGAAAACTCTGACCATAGCCTGTTCCTCCACCCTTTCAGTATCCACTGTCTGCCTGTGTGACACAGGAGACTGGCAAGATGGACCTATGGGTTGACCCAGTAAATGGCAGTTCTTATGCTATGGCCAGCCCCGAAGGAGAACAACCATTCTCCCTCCAGCTATGCCTGCTTTATTTTCTTTTTCTTTTTTTCCTTCCTACTCTCCTCTTCTGAATCCTTTTTCTCACTCTTTCCTCACTGTCCTTGCTGCCTTTTGGCTCCCCATTCCCTCCATAGTCCTCTCTCCCTCACCAGTTCCATTTGTGCCCTCCCTACAGAACGTAGACTTGGTGATTGCAGTGTGGGATTATGACAAGGTGACCAAGAATGAACAGATCGGTAAGGTGTTCCTGGGTTGCAGAGCCACAGGCAACCATCTGCGCCACTGGTCAGACATGCTGGCTAATCCCCGCCGGCCCATCGCTCAGTGGCACAGCCTGCAGTCGGCAGAAGAAGTTGACAATGCCTTGGGGCTGAAAACCCACTTTAAGCTGCCTCTGCCCATCCCATAAAAGGACCTCCTATCTCTCTCTCCACTTGCTGTTCTGAAGGAACCTGGAACCATAGACATACTTGGATGAAAGAGAAGGGATGCAGAAGGCTGGCAAGAAGTGCTTAAGTTATGGGCTGGGGTAGGGAGGGGTTTTCATCACAAAGGTTTGGGTCAATCAACCATAGCAAAAATGTCAACAAGCAAGGGAACCAAGTTTTCCTTTGACCTCAGATCAGGAGGAGAGCTGGTAACCCATGCAACTGGCACGTGACAGCAACAGCAAACTGCAAAACCTACAGTGCACCCCCACTGCACCCACACATTTGCTTCAGACAAATGGAGACAACAGCACAGAATGTTTTTCAGTCTTATATATTGGGGTTGGGGTACACAAGGGTCATGGAAAGTAGGGGGCTGGAAACATCCTGGCTTGTGTTTACAAGACACTACAAAAGACATCTGAAACCATATGGAGACATGGGAAGCGGAAATACACAGAGCAAAAATGAATGGAATAACTGAGTCCTTGTCCATATTTTAAAATTATCTTGAAGTTTAACAAACAGGCAGCAGTGGGTGCTCTATTTACTTATAGAGAGTCACAGTGATCCTTTCGGAGAAGCAAAGGTGGAAGAGACTTTGGGAGTTCATCTAGTTCAACCCTCTGCATGGGCAAGGTCATCCCTGCCTCAACCACCCCAGTCAAGCATCTGTCTAACTTGCACTTAAACATGTCTAAGGATGGAGATTCTGCATCTTTTCTGGGTATCCTGTTTCATTGCTTAACCACCGTCAGAGTGAGAAAGTTCTTCCTAATGTTCAGCTGAAATTTTTCTTGCTGCAACTTAATTCCATTGTTCCTTGTCCTGTCCTCTGCAGCCACAGAGCATAGTCTATCTCCATCCTCTTTATAGCTACCCAACAGGTGTCTGAAGTCTGTTATTGAATCCTCCCCTCCCTCCAATCTTTTCTTCTCCTGACCACACAATCCCAGTTCTTCTGACCTCTCCTTGTAAGCCAGGCTTCCTAGACCTTTTGGTTAGTTTGGAGGGTAGATTAGTAGTGAGTACAAGCTTGCAGGGAGAGGTTGTGGAAGATTTTTACACAGGCCAAACATGCTGAAAAACGGCTGACCCGGCAGAGAGCCCAGTGTCAAAAGAGGCTGGTCCTTAAACTTGAAGGAAAGAGAAAGTGCCCTGCTCTGCTTTGGGCCTGCTGTGTGACCTGAGCAAGTCACTTTGTCTTTCTGTGCCTCACTGCCCTGCATGTCTTTGCAAAGGTATGATGAGTTTAATGAGTATAATGCAAAGGTATAATGCACACTGGTTATGGGGGCTCTGTAAGCAGAGTGACCTCCTGACAGAGCAGATTTAGGATAGATATCAGGAAAAACTTGGAATGGGTTTCCAAGGAAAGTGCTCTCCCCTACCTTGGGGTTCTTTAAGAGAAGGCTGGACTTACATCTGGCTGGGGTCATCTGACCCCAGGACTCTTTCCTACCCATGGCAGGAGGTCGGACTTGATGATCTGTTGAGGTCCCTTCTGACCCTACCAACTACAAATCTATGAAACATGCAGGGTGAAAGTCATGGACAATTGGGATGGGGGGCTTGGCAGTGTCAGTACTATAAACAGGTCTGTGTTATTGCTGAGGTGAGATGGAATCTAGGGGGATGCACAATGAGAATCACTGAGAAATTAGAGGGAAGCCTACTTCAAAGCATGCTGGGATTGTTACCAGGATGCAGCCTCTGCTTTAAAAAAAAAAACAAGCCCAAAAAACCCCCAAAACCAAAACAGCTCTTACGGGATTTTTCAGAGGCATAACTGGGCAATTCTGTGCCCTGGGCACTGGTGCACTTGGTGGGCCATCTGTGGTAGCGTGGCATCTGGAAGACCAGTGGTGGCAGCTGCTAGTTTTGCACTCCCCAAGTTGGTGACTGTGGGTAGCGCCTCAGTTGCCCCCACCCCCTTAATTACACTACTAGGATCTGCTTACTGTACACTATGTGTTGCTGTAGCCTTTTGTTTACCCTGTACCTGCTCCATTCATGGTCTGTATTAGTGCAGCTTAAACTGTGCACTTTCCAGGGGGAGAATGTTGCATTTTCATTCATTCCTGTCACATGAGGTTATTGCACTATGCCTATGTTTATCATTCAGGACAGAGCTCCATACTGTCTGTCTTGATGGATAATTAAGGAAAGGGGACACAAGGTGGCTTTTCCCCTCTGCACTCTGTGGATAGGTTCCATACTTCATCTCCAGTCCTGTGCCCAAGGGGGACTGTACTAACACTGAGGAATTTGAGCTAGATTTTGCAAAACAGGATTCACGCGTTGTAGCCTGTTACAGGCAGCATCAGTGTTTTAATCTGTCCTCACACTGCCTTCCTGTGGGAGAAAACAGGGGGAAATAGAAAAAGCCAAAAGGTGTGACATTTTCAAAATGAATCAGTTTGAGACTGAATTTTTAGCCACATTTATTTATTTTTAAAGGGAGAGTAAAAAGACTTGGAAATAAAATATTGCATTTAACCCAGAATGGCCTTTCTTCAGGTTTTCTGTTTTGGTGAGGAAAACACCTGAAACTTTTTCAGTTTCTGCCAAAATGAACTTGTTATTTTTTGACTCTGCAGTTCATCAGCTGAACTAACAGATCAGTTATTTGCAAAGCTCTCCTCTCATCTGCTTCCTCAAAATCTCTGTTGGCCTTGTTTACACTGAAGGATTTCATTTCAACTGCTGTGTCTAAAGAGCAGGTTATTGGTATCTGGCCTAGGGACCGAAGTTACACATAGACTGGTGTAAATGATCAGAAACTGGTTCAAATTTGTGGCACAACAGAAGTTCAGTGCACATAAACCACTTTAAAAATGGCCAAAACCAGTTTAAGATGAATCTGGATGGTTTTAGTATCAGACTTAACTGATTAGGTTAAATCAGTTTATTGAACTTCTATCCCAGAGTCCCTCCAGATTCAAGTTAACTCACAGTCCCCCAGTATCCCAGCACGCTTTGCATGTCCCCTGCAAACCCAACCCCCTTGCGGGGTAGGTGGGCAAGCCTTGGCCCTAGCTGTCTCAGCTGAGCAGGGAGGCATACTCTAATGCTCCTCAGTTTCTGACCTGGGCCACTGAAGGCATGTGGCTACACTTCTGGAATCAAAAGTGAATGTCTGTGCACTTACATACTGGTTCAAGCTACACAGCTTAGACTAACCTGCAAAAATTGAATTGGTTAAGCCTCACGCTTTTTGACTGTCTGTACTTACCCTTGAAGGAGGAATGGCTACCACAGTGCTTCAAGCACAGGGACATGGGCACAGGAGTGAGTCTTTGAACTGGCATTTCTAGGGGGCAGTGCTCTTCAAGGGTTCCTTGTTTAGAGGTAGTCATTAAACTAGCTTTCCACCGAAGCTGCTTGGCATCTGTACCTGCTCTTGCCAGATTGGGCTTCTCTTGGGAGAGCCAATGCTAGATAAAGGAAGAATGAAATTTAGAAGGGACTATCTGTGTGTCAAACTGCATACTGGAAAATACTTTGGAGTACCCTTTTTGATGCTGATATGTGCAGTATCCAGTGCAGTGGGGCTCCCAGCTTGATTGGACTCTGTAAGTGCTACCAGAATACAAATATTTATTTCTATTTAAAAAATACCTTGGAAAAACTATCTGTGCTGCAGAGCATCACAAACCAAGATGCCAAAGTGGTTTCCCCCGTTGTTTTTGCTGCAAAGAAACAATGCTGGACCAAATTCACCCCTGGTGCAGCTCCATTGATTTCAGTGGATTTATGATAGGGATGGAAGGAGTTCTGATTATATCCAAGTGATTCAAATGCATAAATCAGTGAGATTTTTTTCTTAGAACTTTCCCCTCCAACCATTTTAGGTGTTTGATTGTTAACAAAGTGCAGGCATTATCAGATCTGTAGATGAGAAGGAGAGAGAATTTGAGAAAACCATGCAAAATTATTTCCTGCTTTACTGTCCTATCATGTAATAAGAGGAGAGCATTCTAGGCCATATTCTTACCTGCCCTTATCTGCAGTAACCTCAACTGGTGGAAGGGCTAGTCTGCTGAGATTTGCCTACAGCAGCTATTGACATCACTGCATGCTTGACTCCAGGTTTTTGCAATCTGCTGTCAAATGTTGCAGCAGAGGAAACACAGAGCTCATTTCATGGAACGTTGTCTTCCAAGACAAAGCACAGGATCTGAAGAAGCCTTTGGAGACTGCAGAAACACACCAGCATTCATGTCACTGGCATTTGTACCAGTGCCAGCATCCCTACTGCAACAGGAAAGCAGCCTTTGATTTGCTTGTGGAGCTGTATGACTTACTTGTGGTAATCTGTCACTGTGGCCTGTGAAACCAGTGCACTCTTGGTTCTGTGTGGGTAATAGCCTTTCCAGGAAGGACTTCACAATAGCAGTGTAAAGTCAGGGCTGTCCTTGAGTTGTTCAAATTGGCACGAGAGATAGGAAGGGCTTAAAACCATCCTACATGTAGCATTCTGTATCCCTCTTGTCTCCAAGCAGACTCAGTCCTCTGGTGACTTGTGTAATTCTGCCAGGTTTTTTAATACCATGGTGATGAGTACAGAGTAAGATCCTAAGTAGAAGAGAAATGGTGAGTGGCTGGCTTTAGCCAAAAGAAGAGGCCAAATCTGGAATGGGCTTCCAAGGGAGGTGGTGCTCTCCCCTACCTTGTGGGTCTTCAAGAGGAGACTAAATAAGCACCTAGCTGGGGTTGTCTGACCCCAGCACTCTTTCCTGCCCAGGGCAGGGGGTTGGACTCAATGACCTACTGAGGTCCCTTTCAACCCTAACATCTATGAATCTATGAATTACTAACTATTAATGAGAAAGTTTGTATGGAGGGACCACATTACCAAAGCAGCCTTCATGCTTACTCCAGTCTCTACCAGAGGCTGGTTCAACTGAACTCTGTACACTCTGGCCTTGTGCCCTTTTCTTTTGCTGCATTAGGGATCAAGTTTGAGGGTTGGCTTGGAAATTGCTACAGTAGCTGAACATCCCCTGAGGATATCCTGTGATCCTTTAGGAGATTGATATTGCCTTCTGTTATCAGACCATATGATGCTGGAGAACCAGGGTCATTACCATTGCGCCCTGTTCCCAAATTCAAAGGGAGTCTAATTTACAGTAACATGGCATTCAGTGTCTGGGTTGGGAACTTGTTTCTCCATGGAGAGCTGTAGGGAGAAATCTAATCCCAGACAGTGATCTGCTGGTCTTTGGGTAGCAGAGAACTGGGGAGAGTTAAGGCACTGACAGACTCATAGTAGAAGAAAATTAATCTGGAATTATCTGGTGCACACCCGAATGACTATCAGAGAGTGTTGAATAAACACCAAGAGAATGTGAAAGGCTCAGAAACTCTTAATAGAGATTAATGAGTTAGAAAACCCACCGTGCATGATTCTTAATAAATGTTTTCTGGGTTTAATAGAACTTATTTGAGAA